GCAATAATTAAATTTAGCAATAATAATACTGAACGAGCAGTAATTTATTTAAATTGAAGGTAAGCTTTATATAAGATAAATTTTATATGAAAAGGATGTGAGATCTCAATCTCATCGTATGTATATATGTATCAGTCTATGTATATCTCCTATATCTGCATCCATATAAGAAACGTAACGCTATATATAGGGCGATGGCAAGTGCTGGAAAATCCATAAGATGGAAAATCCCATAGATGATGAACTACGAAAGAAAAATCCATGGAACAGCAAGAAGAACAGAAAGAAAGGAAAAGTCCATCAGGTATATACGCGAGGAAAGGAAAATGCCGATCATTCCTTAAAATTACATTTGCAAGCACATCATTGGTATATCCATCAGGTTAAAATATTGTAAACCTCCACCACAGACAAAAAATGTGAAAATAGATACAAAAAGAAAAAGACACAGACCATCTAAAGTAAAAAAAGCTTTATTGACATTATAATGTATTCCGTTTTCATTTTTCTTGTTTTTATTTTCAATTGTAACTGACAAGAATGTAGTTTCTCTTTTTTTTATTCCTAAAATATGAAATGACTACTGCTATTTAATGAATTAACTATTGTACGTTTAGTAGTGTAAAATTGGTAAAATAATTTTTTTTTTATTGCTTGAAAATTATTGCTAGATTATATTTCAATTATTGCTCATTTCAATATTTTTATTGCTCAAATAAATACTAGCCTATTTCATATACTAATAAAAAATTCGGGACATAGACTTTTTCTATATTGTCCCGATCCCGTTTGTCCCGTCCCGAAAATTTTTCGGGACAATCCCGATTGTCCCACGGGACGGGACAAACGGAATTTTTCGGGATTCGGGACTGTCCCGCAGTACTCTACTCTTCTCCCTCCATTTATATTCGAACTCGAATTAGGCAACTCATGGTGGGTTTGGATGAAGACAGGAGGCACATACATCTACACCCGTTTATATTGTTTCGAAGGAGAGACTAGTAATATACTTGAAGAGCGCTTGTGCATGTACTAGACATGTGCGGGACCAGTCCCGGTCCCGGCCACCGGGACCGGGACCGGGACCAAAAAATAGAATTTTACCGGGACCGCGGCCGGGACCGGGACCAAAAAATAGAATTTTACTGGGACGGGGACCAGGATCGAAAAACAATTTAGTCCCGGTCATGTTTGCCGTTGATAAGAAACATCGGTGGAAATAAAAGTGAGAACTGCTCCAGATCTAAAACCGGCAGATTCTGCAACAACTTCTCTGACTATGGACAAATAACAGAAAAAGTAAGGTTACTTAGACTGGGTGTAGAACAAAAACCAAATTTAACACATTCGACGCAATTCGGTTTTATTAAAGAGTAGCTCTAGAGATTCATTTTCGTCTGCATTCATCTTGCGATAAATGCACTGCTTGGTCTTTTCATCCTATACTGATCTGTCGTTTTCTCTTTTCCATTTGTAATATCACATGTAGCGAAGTAACCATCCTGTAGTTTGGCGAAACTCCTGTGAGGTCATTTCAGCATGACATGCCATTCGAGAAGTTGAATCAGCAACCCAATTCAAGCGCGAATTCACTAATCGCAAGCTCGAAGAAAAGGAAGGATTTAAGGGCAATGTCCGCAGACGCTGTACTGGCTGCTTTGCGAAAGGAAGGGCACAACAGTCAAGAGAAGCGAGCTATGCGGTAGCAAAGAAAGTAAAAACGTTCTGTTGTGAGTAACAATTCTTTTTGTCTTGATTTTTTTAACAAGACCCATCATGCTATGGAATAACGGACTCAAAAAGAGTTCTGAAGGCAGAACAGATAAAGCATTATGTTCAGTCTCCTGTCTAAGAATAAAGAAAAATAAAGTACTTTTCTATACAGTTTCTCGTTAAAATGTAGCGTGGCTCACTGTTAGGCCACATCGTAGCGAATGTGTTAACTGAGCCCAGGACTAAAAAACAGAATTTCGCCGGAATCAGCAGCAAAAGGGAAATTTCCACCGGGACCGGGACTGGGACCGGGACCAAATGAAAATTTTCACCGGGACCCAAACCGGGACCAAAAAAAAATTTACCAGGACCGGGACCGCACCGGGACCAAAATTCAATTTCACCGGGACCGCGACCGGGACCGGGACCAAAAAAAGTTGGTCCCGCACATGTCTAGCATGTACATATTGACTAGTGTACGCGCATCTATATACTATGATCAGCTGATTTATATGTCTATCCTCACTTGTAGTTTTACATGGAGAAACCCCTTCCCAGTTGTTAAATTAACGTTTAAACTAATTGTAGGTTCTTTTTTTTATTAACCTATTGTCAAGCTTCATTTGACAATTTCTTCAAATGATAGCCTAAGAGCAAGGTACATCAATTCAATGAACAAATACGCGAAATTCTTAGCTATTGATATTTTTTTTTATTAATGAAAGACAGCATTGATAACTTTTATTCAAAATAAATTTATATCTAGCGATAATTGCATTATTAACATCGCATTTGTATATCGATTTAATAATCTCTTTATATCCGTGCGATCACTTGAACATTATTTTTTCTTTTCTCTCCTGTTTTACTGTTCTATGTTTTCTCTATATCAAAATTATCTCATTGGCTGATTACTATTGGTCAATAATAGTCTTTGTCTTAAAACAAAGTTATAACTTGTTATTTAGTATATCTTCACACAAGACACAACTCAAAATATTTTACAATATAAAAGAAAGGCGAGTTTTAAGAAAACGACCCTTTGACTTTGTACAATTTAGAAACTTGAGAATTTCTTCATTTGATTTAGATTATTTGCATAATTTACTAGTAGAGTGCATCTCTTCTTCCATATCTCTCTAGTTAAATGAACAAGACTTCAAGTTTTTTTCAATTTATTCTAAATAACATTGAGAATTAGATCTTATTATTAAATTTTCTATCGACGAGTAGTGTCTAACACATACCGAGAAGTCAGTCATAAATATAGTATTTTGGTACAAAACAATTCTGTTTCGTGCAATTGTGAATTCAGCGTGTGATCCGAATATAAGACTTTTACTGGTAATGCTTTTTCAATTAAATTGAAAAAGGTACGTATTGTTTACTTATATCAGAGTATTATGTGCTTTATGATTTGCAGTACTTAGAATTTTCGTCCTATCTATCTCACACAGCCACGTAACTTTCTTCGCCATATTTTAGCTTCTTAATTCTAAACTAGACTCTGTAATTTCATTTGAATCATTGCATGATCGATAGATTCCAAGTAAAATAAGAATTACGTTAGTTTTCGTTTTGTGCAGCACCTTTTGAGAAAGTTAAGAAGTCAATAGTCTAACGAATGACGTACAAATGGTATTTTTTATATTTTCAAACTTCCTTTCTCTTAATAGTGTACACCAAGTTTTCATTCAAAGATTTCTTTTCAAATTCTGTAGAATAGTATATCTATTTCATCAATTAACGTGATTTGTTTAGTTTCTGTGCACATCAGAAACTTGGTCAAATCGAGTGCATAATGTAAAATATCCTTTTTGCGAATATTTTTATATCCCATTTGAGTATTTCATTCTATTGTTATCTCGTCCAAGAAAAGTGAACATATATAGTTAAAACCAGTTCATTAAGAGAAATTTCACTTATAGAAATTGGACTCAACGTATGAGTTATAACATTCTTCAGATGGGATCAGAATAGGATTAGACAATTACAACACCGAATGAAATATATAAGATAAATAGTATTTTACATTGTGCACTCAATTGGATCTAACATTTACGAGCCATACTGGTAATAGAAATAACTGATATTGATGAGTGAATTACATTGTTCTTTAGATGATTCAATAAAGCTTTCATCGAAATATTAGCATGATAAACAGAGGGAAAACGATATATTGAAAAGAGCAAGTATCTTTCTATACAATACTCGTTAGTTTCAGACGCAAGAAAAATTCAAATATTTTTAGCTGAGTTTTCTGAAAGTGTAGTCAACATTGGAGTATCAATTTTTTGTATAAAATATTTGAGAAAGCAAGGAATCAGATGAAAGGAAAAAAGATAAAACAAATACTGAAACAGAGATAAACATGATAAAGTGATATAAAAATGAAGGGTGTCGGCTTAGCATTATCATTGTAATAATTTAATGCTAACAGCCATAGTTTTGTATAATGATTCTAAGTCAAAAGTATTGCAATTTGTATTGGTTAATATGATGCTAAAGCGAACTAGGATTCTCTGACTAATTTCAATACTTTTGTGTTATAATTTTAATATAAAAGCATTGTTGCTAGTATGATTTAATGCAATTGTCATTAGTTTGATACTAACTTTAATGCTTTTGTATTAAAATTATAACACAAAAGTAATGAAATTAGTCCGAGATACTAACTTCACTTTAGCATTAAGTTAATGTAATGATAATGCTAAACCGAAATCATTAATTAAAATGTTTTTGGATTGATATAATTATAACGATGTGAAACGGTCACAGAAAATGCCAAAAAATGGTCTCTGTTACAGGCATTATTTTTCTATTTCATAAACGATTTTCACTTAGTCGAAAACAATCATTTTCATCTTCCACATTACAAGCATTTTAATGCGTCACTCTCAAAGCATTTTGAGGCATTTTTTGTGACACTTTTACATCGTTATAATTATTACGATTTGAAGGCATTTTAATACCATTTCTTTCTCTGCCTGGATATATGTGAAAAGACTGATTGATATATTGGCGCAATCAAAATCTACATAATACTGTATTTATTCTTTAATGAAGATGGAGTCGTATCATATTATATCTATATCTTTGTTATGATGATCAGAAAAGATTAGAATATTCATTGCGAGTATCTTATCGAGAAAAAATTTTCTTTTCGATTTAATAACCTATATTCGTTAGCTTCATAGGGAATTTTTTTGTCTTGCTTCTAGATAAAGTAAAAACCAAAAAAAAAGAAACATTCACAAAAAATTATTGAGCAAGAAAAAGGAAAACAAATGGCTGAAATAGGACGAATGGAAATCGAACATGAAAATTCTTCATCATCTGATGACACAAGTTCAAGTTCATCATCAAGTCATTTTGATAATTATGAGTTAAATATATATGATGAAATTCATTCATTTGATATTAACAATGTGTTAGAGACTAATAATTATTTTAATGATAATATTACACATTACGTTGAACATCATTTAAATCGTTTTTCATCATATTCTGAAATAAATGAAGAACATGTTCAATTAGCATTTGATGATTTAATTTTAAATTTATTACAGATATATATAATGGTTCTACATCATTAAAATATATAAATACATCGAAATTATCTTATTTACAAAAACAATACAGTCCTAATTGTACATTTATATATAAAAATGTAAATATCAATATGAATAAGAAACATTCATGTTTACAAGATTTTGTTGTTTGTCTTGGTGAAATTAAGTCACCACAAGTATCTTTAATAGATGATAAATCAGTGATTTGGAAATTATTACAATATTTGCAAATTCTATTAAATGTACAACATCGTAGACTGGTCTATGGTTTTTTAACTAATTTTACAACTATAACATTTTTTTATGTTGAAAAGAATTTGTGTTCGAATTCATATAAATACTATCAAAGTCAAAATTTGAAAATGTTTCATTATTTATCTGAAACATCATCATCTATTGATATGATAACAACAAATGAACAATTAAGAAAAGCCTATTTTAATAAAGATACATGGAAAATATTTACAAAGTTTTTAACAATAAATATTGATTTTTATGATTATATAGCATTGAATATAAATCCTCTTGATGATTTACTTGGTGATAGATATAACATAAGAAGAAAATTAGGAAGAGGTACTATTAAAATGGTGTTTTTATTAGAAAAAAATGAAGATAATTATTCAAATGATGATTTACAACATTGTGTAATGAAAATTTTAACACATAGTGCATATATGCCATACATGCCAAATGAAGTCAAAACAATCCAACAATTAAAACAAATGAATAATTTAGACAAATTTAATTTATTTTTTGAAGATCTTCTATATGCGTCACCTTCAGGTAACATTTGTCTAGAGATTTTTTCTTAACGTTTCCTAGTTAAACGCGAAAATATAAAAAAAGAACGTGTGTATCAGAGGTGGGATCGGTTGGCATTTTTGCCAAACCGAACCGACCGTAACCGAAAAAATCTCTAACCGAACCGAACGTAACCGACCGAATTTTTTAAAATTTCTAACCGAACCGACCGTAACCGAAAAAATCTCTAACCGAACCGAATATAACCGACCGAATTTCAAAAATTTCGTAATCGAACCGAGTTTAGAGAAAGCGAAGTTTAGCTTATGTTAATTAGGGTATTAGTGCTTTATAAATTAGCAACAACAAATCTAACAGTAGCAACTATGAGCAATCAACATCTAGAGAAAGTAACGAAGAAAGATTATTTATTGAATCCTCTTACTGTATTATAACTTTCTTACCTCTCACAACAAATTTAAAAAACATGTGAGATAATACGAGTTACGAACAACAGCTAATTGGTGTACGATTACACTCTTTTTTCTTCTTATGTCTCAAAAAGTCCATCGAACTCAAATCAAAAGATTATGTCGATTCTTTCTAACCGAACCGAACGTAACCGACCGAATTTTTTAAAATTTCTAACCGAACCGATCGTAACCGAAAAAATCCCTAACCGAACCGAATGTAACCAACCGAATTTTTTAAAAATCTCGAATCGAACCGATTTCGGTTACGGTCGGTCGGTTCGGTTCGGTTTTTAACCGAACCGGTCCCATCTCTGCTACCTTACACAAAATCGATAATTTTGATAAAGTCGAATTTAGAAAATAAACTTTTCGTTTTCTACATACAATAGAAATATGAAGAACATGTTATGTCCTTTCGATCGGCGAAAATGTTTACTCGTCAATTCCCTATCTTTGAAAAATATCACCATAGCTACACAAATAGTAGACAGTAGAATCCAAAATGAATCCTTAATTCTTCATTGAGGAGACAAAGAAGAGAGGCGAACAACGAGAATATGGTTTTTTTCTAAACCTTATCATATCTCTTCGTAACATTCGTAAAAACTAACCACAAAGACTAAATCAGAGCAGATCAAAGAGTATTTATGTAACAGTGGGATTTCTTAAACTAATGAAAATATAATAACTGGTGATTACTTCTGTAGCAGCTACTTTATCGAATCTTTTTCATGTAGACTTCTGGAATATAAATGTGTGCATTATCACCTTTTAGCAGAAAAATTTTCCTGAGGGTGGGTGTGGGTGTGAGTGTGGGTGTGGGGTGGGGTGTGGGCGTTGGTGGGTGTGGGTGTGTGTATTGTTGTCCGCTCATACCTACACCCACACTCACACCCACACCCTCTCTTCTCATCGCCATGCGTAACAAGCATAAATTGATCTAGCTGTTTCTCTCATTAAATACGTTCTATGCAAACCGCCCTTATTTTCGTTGCATATGATGGTATCGATCATATACATGTGCATACTACATACCTACATACAACCTTGGATCTTACGGCCATGACATTAAATATTCCATTGGTGGTTGGCCTAG